TCGGCAGCTCCTGACACCCGGCCCTGGCAGAGCTAGGCCCGGGCGCGACGCGGGCTCGGGCTCGCTGAGGGTGAGGGCTGCAGGGCAGCCCGGTGAGTGCTCTGGAAATGAGTGCTTGGCACCGAAAATGGTGTATCAGCAGCAAACAAGATAGATGTTCTCAGCGACAGGGCGAGGAGCAGTGGCCATAAACTAAAACAAAAGGAGTTTCACCTCATCATGAGGAAGAACTTCACTCTGAGGGTGGCAGAGCGCTGGGAGAGCTGCCCGGGATGTTCATGGAAGTTCCTCTGTGGAGACATTCCAAACCCACCTGGCTGCGTTCCTGTGTTACCTGCTCCAGGTGACCCTGCCTGGGCAGGGGGGTTGGACTGGATGATCTCCAGAGGTGCCTTCCAACCCTGACTGTTCTGTGAAAATTAGAGGACCTGTCTATTTGAATTCCAGGTTCACTTACTGATGTAAATGCAAACTTGAGATTAAATTTCCACTTATTAAGTCATTTAAAGGCAACTGCAAGTGCTCAGCTTGCCTGTGGTGTGCCTGGTAAGGCAGGCTGAAGGACAGTAGCATTGTAAATTAAGGATTGCTTGATCTCTGTGCTTCTGTTCATCTTGGTTACATCTGGTACTTTAGAAGACCACTCATTCAATTTATTTTTTTTTTTCAAGGCATGCCAGAGAATTACAGATGGAAAAGGAAAAGCCAAGGGAAGTCTTTTAAGTACTACAGAATAAAGAAATATGGTCTAAATTGAGTTGTCTGTGCCATGTAATCACTGTGAAGTTTTGTAATGGCAGAAACTAGGTCTTCAGGAATCAAAAGATCCCAAATAAGTTTGTCATTCAGTAAAAATAAGAAGAGAAAAGAAACAACAAAAAAAGTGGAAGTTACAGGAACACCATCTGCACCTTCAGCATCATCCTCTATTACTTCCTTTTTTAACAATGTCCCCCCTGCCAAAATTAGCTGTCCCATGTGTGGACAATTGGTGCCAAGATACGGAATAAATAAGCACATTGATGAAACATGTCAGAGAAACCATGGTGAGATTGGTGCCGTTGATGCTACACTGAATTCTTTTAGGAGTAAGAATCCCCCAGCTGCAAATCTGAGCAATAATTCCAGCTCATATTTTTCAAAAAAACTCTTAAATCTAGAAACAAGTCCTTCCAAAAGTAATTTACTGAAAGCAGGAGGGAGTGCAGCACAACAGACTAGTCCTTATTTTAGCAATAATAACTCAGTCTGTAGTGTTAACAATGAACCCCAGGCTCGAACAGTTAGAACAGTCTCCTTGGGAAGCTTGTCTTCTAAACTGTCCAGAAGACGCTGTCTGCAGGGGGGAAAACAGGTCTTGTATGAAGAAATCAACTCTTCACCTCCCGCTGTTCACAGTGCCTGTGAAAGTGCTGCAGCACTGGATGGTGATGATGATGGTGATGAGACTGATGCTGGGCAGAGTTCTCAGAAAGAAAATCAGCCTTCTCAGAGAGAGCACCAGGAACAAAATTTTTCAAAGAGAGAACCTGAATTTCAAAATGAAATAAACAAATGTAGTCGAGAAGACCTTGTGGATATGGTTCAAGTACCTTTACTGGCCAATAACAGCAATGACAAAAGGTTCCCATCTGGTACAAGGAGCACCAAAGCAGAAAGCAGGTCTGAAGGTGGTGTACTTAGTCCTGATAAATTTGAAACATCTGTAGCTATCGATACTTCAGCAGAGCTGAGCAGTAATTTGGAAGCTGAGACTCAGCCTCACACTGAGGTTACTCCTTCAAAGACAGAAGTGAACTGTGGGACAGAAAATTGCTTTAGCAGGGATGATGCAGAAGTACTTCCTGTGGAAGTTCTTGAAGACTTTAAGAATGATATGAACCACACTTTGTTAGAAACTGTGGAAAAGGCAGAACCACAGGATTCCACTGGGGACATGCTAGACAAGATAGATGAGGTCCTGTCTGTGCCCAGCTCTCCTGGTCACCCATACTACCTCCAGAATTTTTTACTAGTGCTGCGAGCAGTATTGGAGAATGAAGATGATGTCAGACTATTTAATGAACAAGATTTGAACATTATAACCAAGTTCTACAAATTATCAGGTATCTTTTCTTTTTTTAAAATACATTTCCACGTTCCCTCTTGTTGAAAGCATTGTTACATAGTTTTATGTGAGAAGTACCATATCAGTTAGGGGAAGGAGTTCCATTTTCTCAGGAGATGTACCCCTCAGTGTCTTTTTGTAAATAAACTCTCCTAATGTTAGCTACAGATCCTGAGAGAATCGGGGGACACAGCCTTGTGCAGCCAAACCTGGGGGGGGTGGTCTGCAGAACCCATTGGTGCACTCCAGACCATAAGAGTATTACAGTAGTGACATCTTGGAGCTTGGTAATGCCTTGTTCATCTTGTGATAGTTAAAGGGGAATATATAAAGAAAAAAAGCAACAGAAGTCTTGTTTCTGCCTCTCTGAGGCAAGCAGTAGATGCACATTATTTGCATCCAAAGATCCAGGAATAAACTCACAGGCCAGTAGTGTATGCAGGCATTGGCTACTTTGACAAACACTAGAAGAGATGTTCAGGATACACCTTCCCCATTTCCACACTCTGTTCCCTGGACATCAACAACACTGATCAGTAACAGGAGCTTGTTCTGTTAGATAAAAAACTTACTGTTTCTCTTTCAGTGGTATGATTTCAGAATTCCTGTCTCATGTGAGTTGGGAATACAGAAAGAATTACTGCAAAGTAGTGCTGATAAATCCATGTCTGCACTGGATGTGAGGGTCACAGGTGAAACAATCTCTCTTTGCAGGGTAGGAAAAATGCAGCAGTTGAGCTGTGAGAAGTGAGAGGATAGCACTAAGTCAGTAGATAACAAATCCTGGACAACTGACAGATGGATGTCATTGCCTTCAAGAAATACCAGGCAGGATACTTTAAAAGTTCAGGTAGATGAGTTATCTGTCCCACATGAGAAGTTTCTACTCAAGTATCATCTTTCAGTTATCATAACACAAAAAAACCCACACACCTTAGTACTATGGAGTTGCTTGAATATACATATTTTCCAGTATTTAATTATTTTCTGCTGAAATGTCTACCATTCTTCAGTGAGTTGTCTCTAACTTCATAAGTTAATGAAGCTTATTATGAAATTATTATTGCAGCTCTAGTTTGGTTAGTTCTGTGGTCTGGAGAAAAAGTGTCCATGTGTTAACCTTTTTCCTTTCTCCAGAAAGATAAAAACTGGGGACAGACTTTAAAGGAGTTATAACCCCATAGAGAAAATGACAAGCCTATATATCTGAATGTAGTTCTCCCATGAACTGATACTGGAAAGATTCTAATAAAGAAAAGTCTTATAAGGACAGGAGAACTGATAAATAAACTTCTAATGTTTATCTGCCATTTCTTAAGTATGTCTAAGTCTGGTAGTGTTGCAGTGTTATTTCATTGATGATGAGTTTCAGTTAAGCAGCAACAGACAGGGGTAAAACATTTAGAAGTTAGTGGGGGTTGAATTAAGTATTCAGAAGGTTGTGGAATGTAGTAATAATAGCTAGACTATTTTCAGCTAAAATTTAATAAGCTTTTTTGTTGAATTTCAGCATCGTTAGTATTTTAAAAGTCTTTTTTAAAGGCACTTTAAAAGAATACTTCCCTGATAAAAATAAAATGAATAGGGGTTTTTTTCCTCATTGTTTTCAGTAGATATATTAGTATAATTTGGTTTATCTTTGGAAAAATAAGAATCTGAAGAATGCTGCATGAAGAGGTATTCTGTGGTTATGAAATTATTCTGTCAGACTGCAGCTTCTTTTGTTCCCTAGCATGAAATATTTGGTTATTGAATGACTGTTTAAGAAAGC